TTTGACAACTGTTAAAAAATTCGAGGAATCAAGCAAGGAAATGAAAATGCCATAAAGACAATGTTGTTTTATGTTTTTTTTTACACCGGTATGTTTAACATTGGACATTATGTCATTTCCGATGTTTTCATTAACAAATGAATGTGGTAGTTGGTCTTCATGACTTTGGAAAAAGTACCTATAAACTTTGGATTTTCAAAATAAGGGACTTTGTTTCAATTTGGATTTTTGTAAAGAAAATAATGTGACAATTTATATAAGTATGCCTATTTTTGTGAATATTAGTTTGAAGGTCTTTTCAAACAAAAGTTACAAAAAAAAATCCTCTTGTGGTTTCTGACCAAAAATTGGTTCTAATAAAATCAAAAGTAAGCTTCCTACAAATTATTACCACATTTGATTATAAATAACATGTCCATACAAGAGCTGTTTATGAAAATATAAGCTTATTGTTATTTCACCTAAGTTGGATTTACACAACTTGCGACCTGTACCGCATCTTTCACACAGAAAACATGATTTTTTATTTTATTTTTGATGATATTGTCATGTTGCTGTCTTAAGACTTATCAYTGGCATTTCACAGCCCTATTTGAGTTCATATATTGTCAATATGTCACCTAGTGGATAAGTGACACATGTATGAACAAAATGTGTGACAGCTTTCACCCTCAGCTGTTAACGTTAATGTTGATCAATAACATTTACAGACCTCAGTTAGTGCTTATACATTTAGTCTATAAATTAAAGGTCCTGTCACACTAGACAACTTATGCCAACTTAAGAAAAATAGTTTATGTCTAAATTGCTAATAAAAGTTATAAATTTGACCAATTTGTTAGAACTACATTATGTACACGCCTAAAAGAAGCTTCTTGTTGATTTTTTCAATTCCATCTTCAATGTAGACATCTTTAAAATGTTCATAAGTTGGCATAATTTGTCTAGTGTTACAAGGCCTTTAGCCAGTACTAATCCACTACTAAATYTTAAAAKTAGCAAAAGCCTTAAAGCACTTAAAAATTTTTTATTGGGGTTTGTTTATCCACTGATTTTTAAAGATACTTCATATAGTATAGTTTTTGCTTAGGTGGACAGTAAWRTATTTTTATAATGTGGTTATTTCTGCTTGAACTGATGATTTATGTGTAGAGTGGGTTGTGGGACTCTTGATGAGGGTTTCATAGACTCAAGAGGCTTTTAGTTAGATACGTGCCTGGTTTAAYACTTACAACACATAAAAAGAACTGTGATAGAACATTAGCTGTGAGAACGGAATGTGTGCTGTATTGACTTCGTGTAGATATAGCCTGCCCCTTTAAGACACTGTCATTAGGCGGGGTCAGGACAATGAAGACGATGGTAACTTAAAGGGATCCCCGATTAGTTGTAGCATTAGACGTTATTTGATAAACATATGTTTTTACGGTAAAATAAAGACTGTAAAAATACTCTAGGCTGTTTCGTTTTGTAAATTAAATATATGTATATTTTAACACGGATAGGGCCATTTTATTTACACACAAAGCATTCTGGGTAAATGATGATGTGGATAGGTCTTCAGTGTGAGCGAGCTATATCCACACTGAGGGTTAATCTTGAACAATATCTGATGATCGACTCAGACTAAGCTGAGG